ATCCTCCTTCGCCAGGATTGAACCTGTCCCCATCCTCCTTCCCAAATGACCTGTCCCCATCCTCCTTCCCAAATGACCTGTCCCCATCCTCCTTCCCAAATGACCTGTCCCCATCCTCCTCCCCAGATGACCTGTCCCATCCTCCTCCCAGATGACCTGTCCCCCCTCCTCCTCCCAGATGACCTGTCCCCATCCTCCTCCCCAGATGACCTGTCCCCATCCTCCTCCCAGATAAAACCTGTTCCCATCCTCCTTCCCAACCATGAACTGTCCCCATCCTCCTTCCCAAATGATATCTGTCTCCATTCCCTCCTTTATCCCAGATGACTGTCCACCAATCCTCCTTCCGCAGACTGACTGTCCCAATCCTCACTTCCCAGATGACCCTGGTCCTCCACCTCCCCGTGACTCTGTCCCATACCTCCTTCCCAATGAAACCGGGTCCATCCTCCTTCCCAGATGAACCTGTCCCCACTCCTCCTTCCCAGATGAACCTGTCCCCATCCTCCTTCCCAGATGACCTGTCCCCATCCTCCTTCCCAAATGACCTGTCCCCATCCTCCTTCCAGATATGACCTGACCCCCATCCTCCTTCCCAGATGACTGTCCCCACCCTCCTTCCAGATGACCTGAATCCCCATCACTCCTTCCCAGAATGAACTGTCCCCACCCTCCTCCCCAGAATGACCTGTCCCCATCCTCCTCCAGATGACCTACCCTGACCCCTCTACCCGTCAGCCTCCCACGAGAAACAGATCTCTCCGCGTGACCTCTATTGACGTGATGTAGGCCAATTAGACACGGGCGCCACCTGCGTGATGCGATTAACCTCCTGCGCGACCTGGGACACGCGGCGGGGGAGGTCAAGGCAGGCACGTGACTGGCAAAAGGAATCGAGTCATTCAATCTGTTTTTCTTTTTTCTTTTTTATTATGATTTTTATCTACTTGTTTACTTGGTATTTTGCATTTTGTTTCATTTTATATTGTTCTTTTTTATTTGATTTATCAAGTTATATCATTTGTTTATTATGTTTTATTATCATCAATGTACGTCTGTGTGTGTGTGTGTGTGTGTGTGTGTGTGAGTGTGTGTTGTGTGTGTGTGTGTGTGTGTGTGTGTGTGTGTGTGTGTGTGGTGTGTGTGTGTGTGCGCGGTGCGCGCGCGTGTGTGTGTGTGTGGTGTGTGTGTGTGGTGTGTGTGTGTGTGTGTGTGTGTGTGTGTGTGTGGTGTGTGTGTGTGTGTGTGTGTGTGTGTGTGTGTGTGCGCGTGTGCGTGCGTGTGCGCGTGCGTGCGTGTGTATGTGTGTGCGTGTGTATGTGGTGTGTGTGTGTGTGTGTGTGTGTGTGTGTGTGTGTGTGTGTGTGTGTGTGTGTGTGTGTGTGTGTGTGTGTGTGTGTGTGTGTGTGTGTGTGTGTGTGTGGTGTGTGTGTGTGTGTGTGTGTGTGTGTGTGTGTGTGTGTGTGTGTGTGTGTGTGCGCGCGCGCGTGCGTGCGCGTGCATGCGTGTGTGTGTGTGCGCGCGTGCGCGCACGAGCGAGTGGGAGAGAAGAGATGAACTACTTATCTACTTTTTCTTTGTTTTGAGTCTGCACTATTTTCTTCTCTTTCTACATCATTCCTTATCATCAGCACTTATCTTCCATTACCTTTATCAAAATCGCCACCATTCTTACCCAAATATCTACACACAAACGCCCCTCCCTCCCCCCCCCTCTCCAACACGAAAATTGCACGCCAAAAACTCGCGAAATCATCTCGTCAGCTGCAAAGGATTCTCACCTCTAATCACCGTAATCATAATGAACAGCAAAACGCAAAACCGCATTCCGTACTACATTCGCCCGCCGTGAGATTCGTCGCACGCTCGCCAGTCGGACTCGCCTTCGTTGCCCGCAAAAATGACCACGCAGATGGCAACATTTTGCTTTGCTTTTTTTTTTTTTTTTTTTTTTTTTTTTTTTTTTTTTTTTTTTTGGGGGGGGGGTCGTGGTGTCATTTTTGCTTCTGTGTAACTGGGGTTTGATTTTGTTTCATCTTGAGGTGCTGTGTTAAGTTTGTGTGTCTCTCCTTATTCGACAGCTCTTCTATTTTATTCATTTTTCTTTCCTTCTTTTCTACTCCCCTCTTCCTCTTCCTCTCTTCGGTGTCCTCCCTTGTTCCTTTCTCTTCCAGATATCCTCTCTCTTACGCTGTATAGCAAACTTAACACTTAATTTTCTAAATATCATTCTATCGCATTAACTCAAAAAATTCCTCCTCTCCCTCTCTTCCTCACTCTTCCAAACCCTTCGCCCCCTCTCCTCTCCCCATCCTTCATTACCATTCACATCCTCCTCCTATCCACATCCATATTCTCATTCTTATTCTCCTCCTCCTCCTCTTTCACTCCTCCCCTCCCCTCACCACCCTCTCCCTCACTCCTCACCTCCCTCCTCTCCTCTTTCACTTCCCTCCCCTCCCCTCACCACCCCCTCCCTCACTCCTCACCTCTTCCTCCT